GGAGCTTTTTTAAATACTTACTTGGCCTTGTATGATAAACATTGTCCATTGGTATCATTTAAGTATAAGAAAAAGAATAAGAATATGAAACCTTGGATAACTAAGGGTCTTGCAAATGCATGTAAAAAGAAAAATAATTTATACAGGGATTATATAACACAGTGAACTAAGAATGCGGAAATTAAATATAAAGTTTATAAAAATAAGTTGGTATTAATATTGAGGAAAGCTAAGAAAGACTACTATAATAAACATTTTCAGGAAAACAAGAATAATATTAAGGGCATTTGGAATATTTTTAAAGAAGTATTGGGTAACAAGAACACACCCTTAGATCGGCCTAATTATTTCATTAAGAATAATCAAGTTGTCGAAGACAAGACTTAAACTAATTCAATTCTTTTTTTGTAAATGTTGGACCCACTTTAGCAAATTTAATTAGAAAAAATGACGATCCAGAATATGCGGAAGCCTGGAAAGGAGAAAGTAGAGTGTTTAAATCTATATTCTTGGCTGATACTAGCAATTGTAGAAAATTGTAAAACTAAGAAAAAATCTACTGACTGTGATGGTATAGACATGGTTGTAATTAAAAAGACTTTAGATTGTATAAGTATTCCTCTTTGCTATATTTTTAATCTTTCGTTACAATCAGGAGTATTTCCTGATCGAATGAAAGTGGCAAAAGTGATACCCTTATATAAATCAGGAGATAAGCATAGTTTTAACAATTATAGGCCAGTGTCTCTTTTGTCACAGTTTTCAAAAGTGCTTGAAAAACTTTTTGCGCAAAGACTTGATAGTTTTATTGAAAAATATCAACTAATAAATGAAAATCAATTTGGATTTAGTAAAAATAGATCACGGGCATTAGCATTGTTGACTTTCATTGACGATATTTCATCTGCAACCAATAATAATAAATATACAGTTGGGGTATTTGTTGATTTAAAAAAAGCTTTTGATACGTTACAACATTCTATTTTGATTTCTAAAGTGTATAATTATGGTGTGAGAGGAGTGGCATTGAATT